GAAAAAAACGTTTACTTTTTACCTAATTTTTGTTGGAAGGTCATTTTCCATGGGTCTCTTGTGCTTCTGCAGATCTTGGAAGCAGGGGCACTGACTTTTGTTCCTGGCCATCTTTTCAGGGATGTTTGTAGAGCAGATGACCTTGGAAGAATGAGATCCTGGCTCCCTTCAGGACAGAAGGAGGACCTGTCTGCTGACCAGTGTAATCGACACAACGACTCCCTCCTGGCAGGCTTGCTCGCAGCCCCATTAACGTCTGGGATTCCCGCTGCGGTGCAAACCCGATTCGGCACAGCATCCACCTGGACCCAGCCCCACAGCGCCTGTGGGGCTTGGGGACAGAAGAAACTGATGTGAATACGACATTCATGCTGCCCACTGTGCTGGGAATAATAAAGTGATAAGGGAAACTAATAAAATGCATTCCGCGGTTGATGGGAATATAAATGGGTTCAGCCACTATGGAAAACAGTATGGAAGTTCCTCAAAATTGTTTATAATCGCCAAGACATGGAAACAAGCCCCGTGTTTATGGACAGATGAATGGATAAGAAAATGTGCTACATGCACATACACAATGGAATATAATTCAGTCTTTAAAAAGAAGGAAATCCTGACATTTGCAATAACAAAGATGGACCTTGAGGGTATCAGGCTAAGCGAAATAAGTCAGAGAAAGATAAATACTGCATGATCTCATTTATATGTGGAATCTAAAAAAACAAAAGTCAAAGACACAAAAAACAGATTGGTGGTTGTCAGAGGTGGGGCTTAAGGTGAAATAGGTGAAGGGGGTCAAAGGGTACAAAGTTCCAATTATAAAACAAGTAAGTCATGGGATGTAATGTACAGCATGGAGATTGTAGTTAACAATACTGTGTTGTACATAAGAGACTCTTAAATACGGAGAACAGAGGGTTCCTGGAGGGGTTGTGGGAGGGGGGACGGGCTAAATGGGTAAGGGGCCCTAAGGAATCTACTCCTGAAATCATTGTTGCACTATATGCTAACCAATTTGGATATAAATCAAAAAAATAAAATAAAACAATAATGCGTTGTATATTTGAAAGTTGCTAGAAGAGTTAAAAAACTATCACAAGAAAAAATATTATAACCATGTGAGGTGATAGATGTTAAGTAAATTTGTTGTGATCATTTCACAATACATACAAGTAGCCAAGCATTATGTTTCACACCTTGGACTAAAGCAAGGTTATATATCAATTATATCTCAACAGAAATGGAGGGGGAAAAACTGTGTCTTGGCAGGAACAAGACTGAGACCTGCTTGCTTCTCTACGTGTCCATGACTTTGACCCATGAACCTCCTGTCTTCTGCCAGCATCCATAAAACTTAAAAAGGGACCCTAAAATTGTCAAGCCCCACAAAACCTGGGTCTACTCTCAGTTTTTAGATGATGCTTTTTTTGTATCAGTCTCCATGTCCAACAGAATGTTACTTTGGCTTCCAATTTGGGGAAATATATTGCATTTGGTAATCTTCTCTAGCTAGTCTGCCCATTGCCTTCCCTTCATAGCTTCCCTCATACAGCCCAATTCTGAACAGCAGGAACATGAAATACTTGTATGTCATGAGCAGTTGCCAGGCACATTACAGGTAATTTGTTATGGATAAAGTACGTTCTTTTAAAAAGATTAGGGCTGGGGCGCCTGGGTGGCGCAGTCAGTTGAGCGTCCGACTTCAGCCAGGTCACGATCTCGCGGTCCGTGAGTTCGAGCCCCGCGTCAGGCTCTGGGCTGATGGCTCGGAGCCTGGAGCCTGTTTCCGATGCTGTGTCTCCCTCTCTCTCTGCCCCTCCCCCATTCATGCTCTGTCTCTCTCTGTCCCAAAAATAAAAATAAAAAACGTTGAAAAAAAAAATTAAAAAAAAAAAATAAAAAAAAATAAAAAAATAAAAAGATTAGGGCTGATTCAAGCTTACCTCTATAATGTCATATTTGTAAGCATGCATTCCCATATTTGTTAAGATTCCTCCAGCTCCCAAATATGAAAAAACCTAACTCAAAAGTCTTAAACAACAACGGGATTCATTGCATCGTGGGGTAAGATGTTCCTAGATGGGGTGGGGGCAGGTTGTCTCCGTGGTTGGTTAATTCGGTGCCTTCCCAACCACATCGCTCCACTCGGCCATCTACAACCTGTCAGCCAGCTGTCTTCAAGACAGCAAGATGGCAGAAACTCCTGTAAGGATTATAGCCTTCGTACAAAGGGTCTAAGGCAGAAGAGGAACGATCCCTTCCTTGGGTCTTTTTTTGAAGAGCTACAAACCTTTCACCAGAAGCCCTTTCCTCCCAAAGATTTCTGTGAATTTCTCATTGACCAGCCTTTGGTCATATGCCCTTTCGCAAGCCACTTACTGGCAAGGAGGGTTGAATATGAGTGATTGACTGAGATAAAACAACATTCTCCCCCTGTTCCTGATGCTTGGGCAAGCTTTACCTGAAGCCCATGATTTCACAGAGCAGTGTGAGTGTCTGGACAAAACACAGAGCTCTGCTAGCAGAGAAGAATAATGCAATCTGATTCCCACCCTCTTTATAATGAATGCTTTCTGGTATAGACAGTACTCTCTTTGCAGGCTCTGATAAGCAGAAATTCCAGTTACCACAATTTAGTTAAATGACAACATTTCCCCAACAGTTCAAAATTCCCTTGCCACAGTATATTAACTATGAGTAATCGCATAGAGCACAAAGTTCCCAGCTAGCTCTTGAGCCCACAGATCACTACAAAGATGCCAGCTGTGCATTGGAATCAGTGACCAACAACATGCCTGTCAGGACATACTAAAGAACAGGACGGACTCCCACCAACGTATGGTATGGATGTCAAGACTGACGACACCATGCATTTGCCAAGAGGGATGCACTTGCTTCTCAACGCTGCTAAATGGTAAAGGGGGGGGGGGGT